CAAAATCAAAGCAGAGCAAACACGGACCTCCGAAACATGAGAGGTGGGATCAGGTACCATGGAGGAGTGAGCATCCCCTGCCGACCGGTCACACCCGCCATGTGCTCGTTGTCATGATCAGGAAATAACGGAAAAAATCTGTCGTCAATTCAGTGTATAAATAATGGACTAACAATTGGTATGAAAAACGTCAGTCAGCATTTGACTCAATGATAAATTGTATTTGCTGACAAGGTCATTGTATCGACCATAGAACTTACGAAATGATGACTTTAAACGAGACTGCTGATATTCTTGTTTCATCAACTTGCTTGTCAATAATTTACCTCGTTTAAGAAATTGTTCATACGTAGAGCATGCTCTTGCGTATCGAATCAACTGAGATATATATACTCCGTATGCAGGTTATGAAGGTATATATGCTGCATAAGTAAGGGAAGTTGACGATAGAAAAGTTAAAGTCATCACGTTTATCATATAGCTTGGTTGTTAGATTATCATTAGTGTCTTTTTCAAGTAAAATATCCAAATATGAAGCAGAAGTGTCGGACTCTGTGGTATCTTTTATCTCAAGCTCACTGGGATATACCGCATCGACGTAGGAATGGAAATTATCATTATTAATTGACGATACGTCGTCTAAATGTCGAGTTGAAGTCCACAGCAAGTGTTTTCTTCTTTTCACGCATAAGATTTTGCATAAATTCTGCTTGATATGAATATAAAAATAAGTCTGCTTATAACGGAGCGCAATTTGTACCCATGGGAATTCCAATAGATTGTTGGAATACCTGGTCTCCAAAAACCACATAGATATTGTTAATCAGAAACTCAAACATCTTCTTGATGTCAACTTCAGAGTACTTATGTGTGCAATCAGAATCTTTTTTAACAAAATAATTTTGCAAATGACCAATGACGAGGTAAGTTAATTTACGAGTTCCATTTTTATTGAAGAAGCAGCTGTCAATGGCATCAAAAAGCCTGGATTTTTATTTGTAGTGGGGAATTGTTGTGTATAAAATCTTTTGATTTCAAGTTGTCCAAAAGTTCTTTAGATTTTTTTTTTTGAAAGTTGAGAGTTAAAAAAATGTAAATATAAGCAATGCGTCATCAATTTTTGAAAGATTTAGTCTAATAACTGCGACGGTGTGTTCAAACAAATTTTCATAACGCGCGTTACTCGATTTGCATACACCAGCCTGTTTAGGACCTTTAAATAATAATTTTGAATTCAATATAACGAATTGTAGAAATTTTTAGAACGAATTGAATTCGTCATAACATTTTTTTTTAAATTCGTTATATCGTTTATTTTATTATAACAAATTTGTTGAATTCGTTATAACGATTTGAATAAAGGAAATCATAGATTAAATTTGTTAAAACGAATTCTAAAATTTGTAATAACGATTTAAATTCGTTAAAACAAATTATAATATTTTTCATAAGGAATTAAAATCGTTTCATCAAATTCGAATATTGGGGGCTACAGAAAAGTATTTATGAATTTGTTATAACCAATTCAACAAATCTGTAATTGTAATAACGTATTTAGTTGGTTATAAAAAAATTTTAGAATCCGTTCAAACGAAATTAATTTTTATTTTTTATTTCTGGAATTCCTCATAAGGGATTTAAGATATCTGTTAAAATAAATTTCATTCGTTATAACGAATTCTTGAAAATTTGTTTTAACCAATTAAATTCTTTTTTAACAAAATCGACAATTCCTTAGATAGAATTCAAAAATATGGAGGCACAACCACTTGCGGAGGGCGTCAAATTTTGACCAATACTCGGCACCTATGACCCTTAAGCAGTTAGGGATCTTTTTCGTGCCAGCGCCTACTAAGACTTAGTACATGTTTTACACCTCGAACAAAGGGTTTTTGCTGCTACAAAATCACTTGGTACACCCCAAGCCCAAGCTTCATGGTTGGGTGACTCTGCCAGTGTGTATAATTATTGAGCAAATCATTACCAATGATAGGTAATTACAATCATGGACACAAGGCAAGGTTACCAGACAATGAATATGGACTTCATGTGTTACATAGACAAAAAAATCTACAAAATAAGATATATAAAGAGGGTGTTGCAGAAACTCGCGATTATTCCCTATATATCGAGAAGGGCATTTAAATACCCTCGTTATGTCTTTAAATAGATACAGCTACGTAGAAGACTATGTTTACGGCGGGTATTTCCTGCTTGATAAAGCAAAACACTAAGTTCGTTATTTTGCATGAAAGAGTTTGGAACAACAAAAAGCACAATGAATAAAGCAGCATTTTGAAAGATATACAGTAGACATCGTGCGAAAATATTTTTCTAGAAATAAAACTGCGTCACATAATCACACTATGGTGGTACATCCAAGACATTTCATTTGTTTCAAATCAAATCTTGGCTACTAACTAAGAGATCATAATAATTCAAAATTGCAATAAGTACATGTATACACTGTGTAAAAAAATAAATCATTTAAACATTATAGTAACTTTATTTCCCTTGATAAAACTAAATAAAGTTTAAGTCACAGCATATCAAGGAAAACAATTTTATCCTGCACATAGTTATTTAAGGAATCACTGTCTAGTTTTGAGAATATGCCAGGGCATCAACAAAAGTGGGGAATATGGGATAATTTGCATAACGGGTGAAGCCCGTTATGCTAAAATTATTCCATGGTTCCTACTATTGTTAATGTCCCTGGCATACTCTCAAAACTAGACAGTGATTCTTTATATTTCCATGTCAATGTGAAATAAAATTGTAGACTTAGACATTGAAAATGTAAACTAATAGATTTAACTTACACGAAGACTTCCATGCCAATTTCAATAGTCCTCGCACATTGATGTCAAACACAAAGGCAGCCGCACGAGATTTACATGCATATTTGGCCTCCTTAGCGTCACACACTATGACAGATGCGCACGAGATTTGCATGCGTACAAGGTCTCCTTAGCTGCTGACCTATCGACCTGCCTAATTTACATTCCGGCAGAATTATCAAGAAATAAATTCCCCCAACTTTCAAACAGTTATCATAGAAAAAAAATAGAAATGGAAATATTACTTAATTAACTTCTTGACATTCTCTTTTTTAAAAAAATATATAATTTCATCGCACTACCGTTACATATAGAAAAAAAATTAGAAGAAAAATATATATGCAAAAATGATCCATTTTAGGACTCGAACCCATGCTCTGGAAAATGTACAAGTTGGTAACCAACCAGCATATCTACTAGACCATTTTTGAGACGATGGTTTTTCAATATTATTTACATCTACATATTTACATCTACATATCTACATATTGTAAGAACTCTGAATCTTTAGTAAGTGTCTTAACTTGAAATATTTTGTATTAACTTGAAATATTTTGTATTTACCATGTATATGTATAACTTTACACCTTAAATTGTTATTTTGGCAATCACTAATTTAAATTATTGTATATATTACAGGGAGAGGTTTTTTTAAGTTGCAAGAACTTGTAGCCAATCCCATTGTATAAATTATACAATAAAATATGTTCAAAACAAATCAAAAATATTATTTAACGTACACACTTCGCATTTCGTTTGTAGAATATTTCTTATTCAATTTTTGCGTTTTTCAAAAATGTGCCTCTCTGAAACAAAAATCGGAAATGACAGTTTTGAAGAAAATTCCTGCCTCTTTGTGTATATATCAAAATTATTTTGTTTCAAGGAGGCACTTTTTCAGAACAATGGGGATTCCCTATTCAAAAAAAGGAAAATCTGATATATTTTGACGTAATACTTATTTTCACATCATTTAACGGCAAATTGGAAGTCAATACGCAGCGTTCAAATTCTGTTTCTCGTTGTGCTTTATGTATTGATGCATTTGAAAAAAAATAATATGAGTTTCTGCAACATCAAAATTCTTCTTTTAATCTGCTACACATTTAGGGAAAATAACAAAACAACTGCAACACCCTCTTAGCACAGGCAGAAAGATCTCTTTCTCTTCCCTTGTCCTTCCTTCTGAATTATTCAATTTTAGCCAAAATTAAAACATGGAAAAAATAGTTAAAGAGAAATTTAAGAAATGTCTATTGATTGAATATTAAGGATTTATCATTTACATTGTTACTTTAATCAGAATTGTCGCATCGAGAACTTAGAAGAATAAAATTTTACTCACTATTCAATTTATTCTTCGAAACAGATTTGGACTAATTGGGACACAGCAAAAAGTCTAAATATGACTTTTTTTTTAAGAAGTTCAAATACGCAGGAACCGTCCCATATTGCTCAAGTAGTGTACAAGTATAAAAACTAAAAATTGTTCCTGTCTTAAATCCATTAAAATAACACGATTATTATCATACAGAGAATTTTGAATCCATAGAAATGAATCTGTATTGTGTTTGAAAACTACTCATTGCAGACAGTCACTGACAGGTAGATATTACCCCATGGATATAATTTTCACATCTCGGCCTGTATAAAATGGCACCAGTCAGGGTCAAACTATCGTTATCTTGCATGATTAAATAATAAGAAACACACAAAGATTTGTAATTAAATAGACAGAGACACAAAGGGATTAATTTCTCGCGTGAAGCATGTACTAAGTATGTTGTTAAACTTTTCCCTCACCATTCAAGGTACTCGGGAAAAATTACTAACATATACACGGGACCTCAGTTTATACGGTCTCAGCCGTGAGACCGGTCTCCACGTCCCACAGTTGGATTTAATCCGCGACGTAAGGATCGACTCCTTTCTCCGCAACTCTAGAACAGACGCTCTAATTACTGCGCCACACGGACAACGAGCGAACGCTCTAAACATTGCGCCACTCAGTTGATTAAAGTGAACACTTTACATTGTGCAATTATATCGTATAAAGGTTCCTTTCCATATTTTCAAAATAATATGAATATGTAATTCAGTGATGATTAAGGAAGTCATTTAAATTTGCTTCTTTGATATCAGATGGCAAATAATACTCACCGTCCAACCGCCCCCGTCTGTAGTCATGTCACAATAAACTGAAGTTATTTTAGAGTCGACGAAAATATCATAGACACCATTTTTCCCTTCCAGACTGGGATTATTTTTCAGTTTTTCATAGCAATTCTTGTGGATCAGACCTACATCAAATGGAGAAAACATACAAAGATAATGAAATTAAAGTTTTGGAAAATATATGGTAATTTAGAGATTGGATCCTAAAATTCTGATATAATACAGTCACAAGTGAAATTATAATTCAGCAACTAATCAAAGTGAAATGCAGTATATTTTCTAAATAAAGTAGAATATTTTTTTTTTTTGGTTATAGATATATTTGATTTTCGATCTAGTTTGAATATTTATTCGCCAACATAATTATGATGTAAATTTCTCGTGGGTATACAGTAAAAAAAACAGAGCTACAATGAAGCGCATTGAAGTGGTAAAATTTTCCGTTTGGAAGAAACGTTCTGAGTCATGTTTTGAACGTCAATTATAACATAAAGACACGCCCATTTTTTTAAGAAAAGAAATATTCGTAGTAAGTTTTTAGGAAACCCCAATGTTCGTGACAAGCTCCAAAATGGAGATTTTAAAGTTATAAGAGAGAGAGTTCCTGCTTCTGTAAAAGACATATTGCAACGAATTTGTATATAATTTTATTATATACCTAATGTATATCACCCAATTTTACTGTTGAATTTACGCTATCACGTGACGTCGTGATCCGATTTTCCGGATCACCAACGTGCTGTTTTCTGAATCCATATCACCACTCTCTGAAACTGATGACGTAGTACGCAAAAATATGACGTTATTTTTCTTGCGCGTTAAAAGGTCCCTTGTTTTTATGATTTGTTTTATGGATAAATGTTATGCAATTGATCTCTAAAGTTTTCTTTTGCTATATTTTGCTAGTTATGAGGGGGTATATAATAAATTTATCATTAGAACAGTAACTTGATCCGAAGAGCCGTATCACGTCTCGTTGACAGGCGCGGATCATCAGATCAAACTCGACGCTTCGCGTCTCGTTAGATCTGATGATCCGCGCCTGTCAACTCGACGTGATACGACCCTTCGGATCAAGTTACTGTTATAATAATATATATTTATTATATACCCATCAATTTCCTTGTTTTGTTACTGTTAAGTTTACAGAGTTTGATCCGATTTTCCGAATCACCACACTGTGGTTTTCTGAATCCGTATCACCACTCTCTGAAACTGATGACGTAGTACGCAAAAACATGACGTTATTTTTCTTGCGCGTTAAAAAGTCTCTTATTATTATGCTTTGTTTTATGGATAAATATTATACAATTGAGCTCTAAAAATTTATTCTGCTATATTTAGCTAGTTATAAGGGCATGAAGGGGGTATATATTAAATTTATCATAATAACAGTAACTTGATCTGAAGAGAATATATACATATAATGAAAATATCAAGTTTTAATTCAATAACAATCAACATAAAATATCGTTACAAGTAATTTAACTTAACCACGGAACTACGTATGCAAAACGTTTCATAGCCGCCATTTTTCTTTATTAATTTATTCATATTTTTTTTACAGTGGTGTATGTATAATATATATATATATATATATATATATATATATATATATATATATATATATATATATATATATATATAAGAAATAAGGTATCATTTTTAAACATCTATCGGGATATAAATACGGGTCGGTCACGAGATTAAATTCCATAAAGCCCGAAGGGCTTTATGATGAATTTAATCTCGTACCGACCCGTATTTATAGCCCGATAGATGTTTTAAAATGATGCCTTATTACTTATATTTACATTTGTGACTTATTCATACTTTATATTTGCCTGATTGTGACTTTGAAAGTGTGAAATGCGTTATTTTTCAAACCCAACGTCATGTATGTAATCCACTGAACGTGCGTCGACCCTTTATGACGTCACAGAGAAATTACGTCGAACGTTTATCTTTACGCACATTTATGACCTCTTGACCCCGTACCTGTATTTATACAGTTATAGATACGCACTGCTTTCAGTAGTGTTATATAAAGGAAAACATTTGCAAATGATATATATATATATATATATATATATATATATATATATATATATATATATATATATATATATATATATATATATATATATATATATATATATATATATATATATATATATATATATATATATATAAGTCTGGCCATCAAATGACATATGCTATAAATTGACCAAACTTTCTTTTGTCTATTTCCCAAAGGATTCACATTAGACTGCCTAATCAGAAATGCTAGATAAAGAAATGATTGAGACAGCTAGCCTTTCTACATTAAACTCATTAATTAATTTTGACAGGCTGCTTGTTTACTCATCACAACCAAGAGATGAATGGATCTATACAATTTACCATCAATCATTTTGAAAACATAAAAAAATACTCCATGATTTTTTTAGATATAATATAAAAAAAAAATTTAATATCAAATTCATTTGGACAAAAAGACATGTTGATTCCACCCTCACCCACATAAAATTAGTTTTTAGATTAATATTATCATACAATACCAGATTTGTTTGTTATGCAATATCAAAAAAGTTTTAATTACTTTTCATCAAATTCATTTTAAAACTAACCAACAAGAGCTATTTTTAATCCAACAAGATGACCCATTTGCCACAGTATCAAAGGATATAGATAACAGCTGCTTGATAAGGGACACTCTACCATTTAGTTGCTCACACTAAACTCATTAATTTCTCTCTAATTTGACATGCATTTTTCTGTTATTAAAATTCTTAATTTTATACAAAATCTGGTATCTCTCAAGATTAATATGCACTCGTCCGCTTCACATACAATTTTGTCTTTGGTAGGCCTATTACTGTAAAATCATTTATGTTCGTGGGGTGAAATTTTCTTTGTTTGAGGAAAGTCTCTTTGTTTGTGGGGATTTGATTTCGTGGATTAAAATTAATGAGCTCTTTATGTATGTAATATTTTATGTTTCATGGTGGACATAAATTCGTGGGTCTCGTCATACCTCGAAAACAACGAAAATTTGTGATTTCACAGTACAATAGTTTTCAATCATTTTTCTATTTTAACATCTTTGATTTATTGATATTCCCAGGATTTATTTCTGTTTTTATGTATGAATATTTACATTTGCAAATATCTTTCTCAGATGAACCTATGTACGTGTGGATTTCATTTGGGGATCACCGTAGAGCTACTTATAATTGTGGAAATATTAACCATGTACAACCCTGTAATGACACACGGCAATGACAATTTTATTATTTAAACAATTGTTGCAGAAGCTAAAGCACTTGACGCTTGGGAAAATGCTTTTTGCAAATCATATGAAGAGATTTTCATATGATTCACATCTGTGTATCATGTGTAGATCATATGTGGCGAAGTTGCATGTATACGCTGTCAAATCATACGAGTTTCTGAAACAAGAACTTCAACAGTCTCGATTAAAGCTGTCATTTTTTAGGCTCTATGGTCTAATGAACTTGTCAGCAAATAAAATTCATTGTTAAGTCAAATGCAGACTGACTGTTTTTCATAAAATTGTAAGGGCAGTTTTCTATCATGACAAGGATTTGACCGGTCGGCAGAGGAGACTCACTCCTCCATTGCACCTGATTTCACTAAGGTCTGTTTTTGTTCAGCTCCAAATGTGTATTGTTTACGGACTTTGGAGCTTGAATAGTTATTGCTATCTCGATATATTTCCCTTTTTATATACAGATGTACAGACGTCACCTGACGACGTTGTAGTGAAGTGCTCAATGTATCTTTAAACTATTTAACGTTTTATTATTATTGATGAGAGTAAATGGATTTTCTGGTTATTTTCCTTTTAGAATAAGCTGAATTATTTGAAAATAAAGACTTTACCATCGCAATCTTCCCCTGTAAAACCATTGGAACAACTGCACATGTACCCTCTTGCAATGGACGCCTCAATCACACAGCTACCCATCTGACAATCATGTTTTTCACATGGATCGACTGAAGAAACAAAATGTTTTTAAATGAACTTATTTGTTGACTTATAGGTACTTCAAATTGTCAGCTAGATTTATACATGTATACTAATAACAGCACATAGGTACAAAAAAAAAAGCACTTGAATAACTAAACTCCCAACTATTTATTACTCAATTAAAAAGTTCATATCATTCAATCACGCGTCGTTTTGATCCGACTGAGGATCGTCGATCTTAAGTTTCTGAATCCATAGCACCTTTCATTGAATCTCGTGGCGTAGTTTATGGTGAGCATGATATTTTGTTTTTCACCCCCCTAAATGACAGCTCGGCCCGTGTGTGATCACCTTCAACATATCTGAACTGCTCTCTCACCTTGTGTCAAACAGTATCTATTTTCGGGATTCTAATCTTACCTTGTGTGATTTACATGTTCTCTCATAAACGATTTTTCTAAATCAATTAAATAATTGTACAATTTATGGATTAAAAAAAAAATTGCTTGAATCTAAATAAAAAAAATCATATAAATCAATTTAATAAAACAAAGTTTCTTAACTCAATCCGCTGATTTATTTTATTTGTACGATGTTTCCATAATTAATGTTTATGTCAATAATATCTTTAAATGAACTTAAAAAAAATACTGCACATACGGTACTTCGACTTTCGGATCACTGGGCTTCCTTTCGGATCACCGGGTTTTCATCGGGTTACAGACAGAATTAATTCTAGGAAACAATTTCTTTGATCCTAGATACATTCTAAACTCTGAAAATTTGCTAGCATGATTTTTTTCTAGGGTATTTTACTATAATAATAAAAGAAGAAGTCTGATTCCGCCGTGACCATGCAAGACGAGTACTAGTAAATGTATTGCACCCAATCAATTTATAGTATTAATCGATTTTATTCCATACCTATACAGACTGTATATAACTTTATTTAAGAAGTCATTATTATTTTTAGCTATTTAGTTTGATCATGTTTATATAATTTTAAATTGGTAACGGACTTTCAACATCCCGCCCTTCGAATATGCCGTATATGAGATTTCCGGGTAAGTCCTAAATAATTTTCAGGGTTTAATAATTTATTTGCATTAGAAACATTAAGTTTAACAGCAATGATTTATAATAAATTAGTCGGAAAAGTCGCATTTCACCCGTTTAATATTTGTTAATAACATTTTGTGTTTTGTATTATGAAGAAAAAAGTATTTTATCATTCAATATTCGTTAATTAATACGAGCTTTTAAGTATCTGACATATAAATGTTTACATGTACTGTACATAAGTGAGAGCTTAGCGTAAACGTGCAGTTGTAGCAGATTCATATTCTGTTGACACAGTTTACATGTATTAATGCAGAGCGCCATTATATTAACAATCATTTAGATTTCTTCTCAGGAAATTAAATTTCTTGAACTATATAGTTCTTTAAAGCCCGTTTCTTTGGAACTTTCTTTCGGCCGGTCTTCTACATGTATTATTTTCTCTAAGATTCTAATAATTAATTGCGATCTTCGGATACACCGCAGATTGCAAGCTTTAGACATTAAATACAAAAAAATTAAATTATTGCGTAAATTTCTTCCGTGAAATAATCTCGTACTTGTAGATAAATTTATTATATACAAATGTATATTTTTTGTTAAAATAATAATTCTATTGATAGAGTTTCATAAATTTATAATAATATCCGTAAGAAACGGAATATAATAAGGGATTTTGTGCAAAAATTACATGTTTGTTAAAATATCGAAAATGAAAGGAGTCATAGTTCAACCTTAAGATGAGAATTTCAACATTTACACATGTAATCGTAAATCCACACCATTGAGTAGAAATTTAAAAAAAATACAGCCTCCATTGCATAATAATCCATTAAAGCATTGTCAAAAATATACATAAATAAAAAACTTTTGTACATTCACCATTGATCTCAATTCTTTTTATTATACTGATTAAATGTACTTTATAATTTAGATTTGAAGCTTTGCAAGTATTAAAATCAAATTATTGCAGTAATTAAAAAAAATTCGTCTTGTCAGAAAACGTTCCGCATTTTGAAACAATCCTATCAGGTTTTGCGTTTATCCTATCGTGAAGATCGTTTATCAGGTCTATCGTGTTTTACGTTTATCGTGTTTTGCGTGTATCATGTTTTGCGTTTATCGTGTTTTGCGTTTATCCTATCGTGCGTGTATCCTGCATTTATTTATGCATAAAGGAACTATCATGTTGGATTTTTTTGTGCAAGAACTACTGGATATTACAGTAGCTTAAAAATAGCTGACCACTCGTAAATTTAGTTACATCTTAAAAGGGGCATATTTGAACATCATTTGTTGATTTTCAAAGAGCTACAGGACTGAGAATTTTGAAAACAAGGCTTGTACCTTGTTTTTGTTTACATTAAGATAATACATGTATTATATTTATAACAAAACGAGATTCGGCAAATCGTTTGAAAATATCTTATTGTATTTAAAATTAACTTCATTATTAAAATAAATCTGCATTGACGAACACACAAGAGTATGTTTAACCTATGTAACCAAAAACACGGCGCGGGCCTTGTTTACATAACAAATGTTTGGAGCTCTAAGTCTGTCTTGTAACTCGAAAACTGAAATATAAAAAAAAATGCTGATCATTAGAAATACATTAGTTGAGTATATTTAAAAATAAATAATGGTATGAAACCTTTTGGTTGAAACTGTGTATAGGCACCTTTAAAGAAGCTAAAAACAGCGGCAAATGCATTTCTTGGAACACTCTAGTTTCGAAGATGTGGTTTGTTTAAAATGTGTAATTGATCCTAACGTTAACAGGCACAAATCCTCAATTTGACATCTACTATGTTCTGCTGCGATTCCTTACTGTTTGATATCTAAATATCTCATTCAGTCAACATGCATACGGATTTTAGCTTAATTAAGTTACTGTTAAAGATCATTGATCATATGATTTGAAAGGTAACCCTTAATGTGGTAAATGTTTATTATATCTATATATAAGGAAAAATAAAGTAAAGCTTGTCAAAAGCAACACGAAAGTCAAAAACAGAGAAGAATGGTAATCTCTAGTGTGAAGAACAGAAAAGAATTGAAATGCAATACAGCTAAGGTGCACAATGGAAATATCGACATTTTTGTAATATATGTTTTCATCAGGATGGCAATGATTTTTAGTTCATTATTTATATCAGATAATTGAAGTTAAGGTTAATAATGACATATGGAGGACGATAATATTTTACATTTAAATTTGTCACGTGATACGGCAGTCACGTGATTTTAGCACATTTATTTGCAGTACTGAGGTCATCTATAATTTTATGAGTGCAAAGTCATAACCAAGTTAAAATTCTAAATTTAGTTTATAAATATTTTCAACGCGCATTGTAGTTTCGAAAAATTCTGCAATCCTCTCAAGATTCTACAATTTCATTTATAAAATCATATTTGTATGATCAAATGTGTATTTTTGCGGGTCAGTGGCATGAAATATTGATATAATCAAATTATTTTCAAGATTTCCTCAGGATTGCAGCACTTATCAGATACATTAATACCTCTAGAGTTGACTTGTAAAAGCTTAATATGATGCATTGTGTTTATTAAGACCCTCACATTACCCTGTGATGTACTTACATGTACATACAAATATTCGACAGTATCAATTAAATAGGAGATTGATAAAATCGTGAAGAAGACATTTGAATCAATGTTGCTAAAAATATCTACAAATAATACTTTATTTAAAGACGCACAACACACTTGGGGAGATAACTCTTGCGATTTCAATTGAACGTTTGATGTGACGTAAAATTTAACGTCAAAAATAAAGCGTCAAAATGACGATTAAAACGATTCCTATGTATATTAATCATAAAAGAAAAATAGGATATGAGGCTTGGCTGTGATTATGAATACCATACTCAATCCATAAGTTTTTTTAAAATAACATTGTAACCCGATTCAACTCTGTAAAAAGCAAGACATAAAATATCATAATCCCATAATGTTTATTTCATTTCATATACTATAAATTGTATTCTTGATCAAAGCGCAGCATTTTTCTTTTGTTCTGAAAATTTTATTTTACATTGCTGAAATTTTCATTATGTACTTGTCTATAATGGTCTTTATTATAATTTGTGCATTTACGATATATATAAATATTGTTTTTTCTTCTTTAATTAAATAAAACTACAATAAACAAACAAAGAACTTTTTACAATGTAAAATCGATGTTGTTCTCAGACCCTTACTGATCAAAGAGGAACAACTCTGAAAATGTAGGAGATGTTTGTTTTCCTCCCTTTATTCACGGTTTTCCGCACACACGGAATCAGATACATTTACAGCAAGACCTGATAAATCTGAGAATTGAATACTATAGACCTCATACACACAGTGTAAGTATAGAATTGAAAAGAATTGTTTACTAGTACTGAAATTATCTGAATTTATGAATATCCTATTGCAGCAAGTCGTTTTACTTTCTGTCACTATCAACAATGTAGGCTCGCATTTCATCGAATCAAAACAAAACGTAGCCTGTAAGATTTTTAAAAATATCAACGTGTGATTTGATATAAATTAAAATAGATGGAGAGTTAAATGTTTTATATTTTGAAGTTAATGCTGACGAATACGAAAATTTCATTTTAACTTCAGAAGCAGAGACATTAACAGAATGCGTACAATATCCTGAGGGATGTACATGTATGAAAATGTCGATGTATCCCCACGGCCACATACGGTCTCGTTTGAAATAATGATATGAAAGAAATTATAATTATTCCATTTATATCACAGGAAAGTTGAACATACACCATTTTTTTTGATAAATAAAATTAAAGAAATAAAATTAAATTTCAACATATTCAACATAACTTGAATTCGTATCCAGGTTTCATGTCATATGAAAATAGGAGAATTTGCTAATTTTTTGCATTTTGAGATGCCCCCTGTGGTAGAATTTTGTGTCTCTTACAAATATTGTATAAAATAATATTACTCATCAAATATTATAGTTTGAACAAAATGTCTATTGTAGTATTTGTATAATTTGCTTTAATGTGCTAAACATTGGCATTTTACTATATAATCCTAAAGTAAATTTACATGTATTTTGAGACGGTCCCTTAAAAAATACCTGAACCATAGATTTCCCCTAAACTTTGAGTGTATATTGAAGTTAATGTAATTTATATATGGTATACAAATAAAGAATTTCCCGATTGTAGTTTTCACACAAAAAACTATAGTCGGCTCCCTTAAATACGCTTTACATATGGGAACTTTCAAATATGCAAGTAAGTGTATTTTTTAGGAAAAGAAATATTCAAATTTAATTGTTTTTAAAAGTGTATTTTTAGATTCATAGCAAAGTGATCGACCATGTCTAAAAGACGTGCGGGAACGTGATTTATTGAGAAAGGTGGATTGGTAATTTTCCACAAAATCAAAACTGGTCGTACAAAAATTATACAAAAAATTTTGAAGATTATTTTTACTAACACTACCTAACGGACAGGGTTTTTTTTTACAAAAAAAATTTTTAATTTGATAAAATACACAATTTTCAAGGCTTAGATAATTCATAGTTTTTCAGTTTATGTTCTTTCAATTTTTTTTTATATGTTTATCAAAAAGATGACTATGTTTTTGTTTAAAATGGTTAAATGAATAAGTCAATGAAATTTGACAGTTATATCTAACCTGGCTTTTTTGAAAATTTAAGGTTTAAGTAGTTCATTGATTAAAAATTTTCTCTCTTTGTAAACAACTAAAAGGGGGTAACTTTTGGAATTTCCGGTCCAAAAACAACTCTAACGATTTTGTCCAAAAAGTGCATACATGCAGTAGATATACTCATGTACTAATTATACAAAAATAACGAAAATTAAACGATAGCAATATCTGGGATAGGTGTGTTGTACATCCTTAATTATAGAATACAATTTTATTTGAGAAAATACCACTTTATATGCCTCTCACTGCATACCTGCGTCAAGATTTACGAAATGACATCATATCGACAAGTGGATAGCGATCAGTGACTTGTTGATAACCTGTTGAGTGGGATTCACAAACACAAAACAGCATTCTGAAGTAAGTTTTAATATAGTTTGAAGGTTACCTACGGATTAATATAGCGAATCGCCTAATTGTGCGGTATGTTTAAGGATTGTTGGTTTTGTATGAAGTCATAGTTAAGTTTTCCCTAAATTATTAGGCTACGCCCCTTTTATGTAACCTTATATGTGCTGCAAATCACTAGTGTGGAGAAGAGATAGCCAAAAACAGAAAAGAAACGAAATCACTAGCGTGGAGAAGAAATAGCCAAGAACTATAGAAATGGAAATCACTAGCGTGGAGAAGAAATAGCCAAGAGCTAAAAGAATGGAAATCGTTAGCGTAGAGAAGAGATATTCAAAAATTAAAAGAATGGAAATCACTTGCGTGGTGAAGAAATAGCCAAGAACTAAAAGAATGGAAATCACTAGCGTGGAGAAGAAATAGCCAAGAACTAAAAGAATAAACATAGGTATGAGGAAGAAGGGTCCCTCTTTAAAAATTATGAAACTCTTGTCCAAAAGGTGGGGGGTCTAATGTGAGGATGGGGCTCTATTATTTCATAATGAAAATGCATTAAAAAATATAAAATATTCTCTGCTTCTGGGTATTTAACAAACTACCTACATACGAGGATTGATGCAAAGGTTCATAGAGTTTCGTTCTATTAATTGAATCCCTAGTGCGTGTTTTCGGTTATTCATAATTATGAATATAGCTGAATCCTACACAAAACAAATGACCGACGTAAGTTCTTTAAAAAAAAGTCCAGCTGAGCCTAGATCTATATTTATATAAAATTAGGGCGTCCATAAACCAGCTGTGTTATGTATGGTGCATGTTGCTTATATATAAATAAGTATATTAAATTTTACTACAATATCAGAGATAATAAGCACAAAAAACTGTTATAATTCTAAGTATTCTTCGGAATGTTGAACACTAGTACAGAAATTCCTTTGTACTGAAATTCGTCATATCCAAGGTTTAGTACTTTGGTTTGGATGTACATGTACTTCATTTTTATAATTATTTTTACATACTGTCTTTAAGTGTTATCTTAATATACCTATAAACATCTTACCTTTCAGATGTATGACAAGAATCGCTATCAACGTAATAAGAGTTGCCGACAACAGCACTCCAAGAACCACTGACAAAATCTTTTGTTTTCTCATTCCACTTTTGTTATCCATCACTCCTAATTTAGAAAATATGTTAAGAAAAAATAAGAGCGTATATCATATACCTGATAAATGAAATGAAATTCAGCGTGTCTTATGCACAAGATTTTAGTCTTTAAAAAAAATCATATCTTAAAATGGGACGTTTATAACTAAAAACAAAATGTTTTGTGATTTTTATTTCTAGCATACTAAATAGGTTTCAAGGTCACAAGGTCATTGACCTTTGTCATTTGAAAGACCTTTTAGTGGAGTTTGCACACCAAATATGAAGTCTCTTCTTTTATGGTTCAAAAGTTATTGAAAGGTAAAAAAGCTATTTTTAGCATATAGGTTGGTCACCAGGTCATGAATTGTTTTCATATCAAAGTTTGTGTAGTGTGCATACTAAATATGAAGTCTCTATGTTTCAAGGTTCAAATGTTATGGCAAAGGTTTAAGTTTGCAGACAGAAAAGGTATTTTTAGCAAATCGGTCACATTCAAGGTCACAAGGTCATTGATATTTTTTTGAAAGCACCTAATTAGTAAAGTATGCAAAAATATGAAGTTTCTACCTTTCATGGTTCAAAACTTTTGACAAAGGTTAAATTTGGGGACAAATATACAAACAAACAAACAAGGACAGGGTCCTCAGACAGGACAAAAACAATATACGCCTATCTATCGATCCGGGCGCATAATAATAGGCGCTATTTTAAAACGGCATAACTAAGCGATTATGACTGAAAATGGTTATCATTGATTTCAACTATATTTTGGAGAAATTTTGATCCTACCTATGATGACGTTTTTGAGTTTTTGAGGTCCGTGTTGGCCCTGCTCCTGAATTGTATTTTTATCGTTTGAATAGACTTTTAAATTTCAATACTGTCTATTCACATCTGTATGAGTCTTTTAATTCAATTTTTTTTTATCTTTTTAAGCGTAATTCATTGGAAAATTAAATCTTATTGTCGTTTGGAAACTTTTACCTATATTCGGGGGGAGGGGGGGATATAGTAAATTTCTAATAAGGACAGGGTCCTCTTACAGAATATGAATGCAAGCCCTGTTATTAAGACATTTATTTATAATTGATATTTTATAGGACTACAACCTAACAGCTAAAATAAGTTGAGGTTTGCAACAAACTGAAACCACTCTCAACCAGCTTATAATACTCTACATGTATAATGTATTTTATGACCTTTTTAGATAAAATAAATCATACTCCACTCATGAAACAAAAATCGTATACAGTATTATAACAAAACTCTCTCTCTCTCTCTCTCTCTCTCTCTCTCTCTTGCGTGTGCGTTTGTGTACTCGTTAAATTAATAATAATCACCTTACCTTCTTTATCAGCTTCAACTTCAGGACTAATCGAAGGCATTGTCTCAGATGTCAGATACCATGTATCTTTTTTTTCTTCTTCTCTTTAAAAATGTTTAGCGTCCTTCTTATATTCAACTCGGACAATAGCACGTTGAATATTCTTTTATTCTTTGTCCTCTGTAACTGTCGCTGTGCTTTTTATACTTCAAATAAACATTTCCCTTCGAGAAGCTTAATTTACCTTTGAAATTTTTAAAAGTACATGTAAACTTATAAAAAATTTATCACTAAAAAGAAATTGTCTGGTTATAAAATTAATCTTTTGAAGTTTACGTTTTTCACTCAATTATAAATTTCACTGAAACTCATCACACATTACTTTTAAATATCTGTACTTTTGAAAATTTTGTTTAAAAGTGTATTTCCCAAGACATTTAAATTGTGAACTAATCTCTCTCTCTTGAAATAAAATGCCTCTCTCTCTCTAATATCAGTCGAAGAAGCAAGTAGGAATAGCATTAGTTTTTTTTTTTCATTGTTTCCTACCTTATGATTAAGTATACTATGAAATATGCAAAGGTAAGAAACATAATTCGGGCTCAAAAGTTCCTTAAACATTATAAAATAGGCGAACAAGAAATCCCAAATACGAGGTTCATTCAAAAAATTCGTAGACTTTTGCCCTATTTTTTTTTATTTAACGTCATATTACATCCAAACTTGGAACATATATTTTAACTACAAATTCGAATAATTTGAGTAAAAAATGGGAATATATCTTCATATTAATAAAAGTTATCGAAAATTTAAAAGAGCAAAAATGGGGTCACGGAGTATTGTAAAAATTGGAGATTTTACTAATTTTCACTTTATAGTATCTAAAGCCATACTTCTTATAAATGGCGCTGAATTGAAATTTAAATTACATGTTTAAATTATGTCTTGCTGTTTTACTTAAGATGCTATCAGATAATGTAATATATCGCCCTGTTTAAAAGATATCAGTTTCTAAACTATATGGACCTGCTTAAAAATTTTAAAAAACGTGACATTAAACTTATATAAAATCCTGTAATCACTAAAAATCACATTGTGCTCGTTGTCATGATTATGAAATAACGGAAAAAATCTTTTCAGTGTATAAATAATGGACTAACAATTGGTATGAAAAACGTCAGTCAGCATTTGATAAGATACAATCAATGATAAATTGTATTTGCTTACAAGGTCATTGTATCAACCATAGAACTTACGAAATGATGACTTTAAACGAGACTACTGTTATTCTTGGTTCATCAAATTGCTTGTCAATAATTAACCTCGTTTTAGATATTGTTCATACGTAGAGCATGCTCTTGCGTATCGAATCAACTGAGATATATATACTCCATATGCAGGTGATGAAGGTATATTGCTGCATAAGTAAGGGAAGTTGAAGATAGAAAAAGTCATCACGTTTACCATATAGTTTGGTTGTTAAATTACCATAAGCGTCTTTTTCAAGTAAAATATCCAGTATTAAACAGAAGTGACAGACTCTGTGGTATCTTTTATCTCAAGCTCACCAGGATATATCGTATCGACATAGGAATGGAAATTACCATTTAGTGTTATAGATACGTTTTTAGAGATAGAGAAGACGCTACAAAACGTGTATGAAATTAAAAAGCAGAGTAATTTTGAAAAAGATTCCCGGTGTTGTTTTTGAGGTTACAACGTTGATTTACCATGCTCCATGGTAACAAAAGATGCTGTTTTAAAAATTGGCTACCTTGAGTTCTATTTAATCAAATGGAATAAAACATCACACTTCGACAAAATAAATGTTTTTATTTACGATAATGTGTTCATCTATCACTTTCTAATAGTAATTTGACAATAAGGAACATAGTCCACGTATTTTTTGAATGGCCCTCGTACATCAGATATTGGATTAAATGCCATGATGGAGTGAACATTTCCGCGCACCAGTCACACCTACTGTGTGTTCCTTTGACAACCCTGCGTGTAAAAAAAAAACTGACAATCAGTATAAAAAAGTCAATCAACATTTGACTTTATGATTATATTTGCGAACAATATTTGCTGACAAGGTCATTGTGTTGACTATAGAACTTCCGAAAACAGGACTTTAAACGAGATTGTTGATGTTTTTGTTTCATTAACTTATTGATCAATGATCTACCTCGTTTAAGAAATTGTTGATAAGTAGAGCATGTTCTTGCATATGGAATCAACTGAGAGACATAAACACCATATGCAGATGACAAAGGTATGTTGCTGCATAAGTAAGGGAAGTTGACAATTGAAAAAGGTCATCACGTTTATCATAGACCTCTTTTAGGTAACCATTAATATAACTTTCTTTATAGTTAACATAGGTCGCAGGTTTGCAGGTCTTTTAAAAGTGTCCGAAAACATACTAAGAAAATTAATTATATGATTTCTCTACCCCTGATTTCCATTCTCTGAAAATTTTATAAAATCATCTGCACCGTTTTTTTTTTTTGTAATTGAAGTCAAAAGATGTCATTGCTGTAGTAACATTTTCGATATCATCGTATTGAATTACATCGAGAAAACGTAGTTTTTTTAGGCTCGGTTAGAGACAAGGTTTTGATTTTTAAAAATATCATAAACTTTTAAATCGTGCAGACGAATTTGTTTCTCCTTTGGTATTTTAAAATATAATTCATTTAAAAAAAACCTTTGTGAAAAAATTCAAACCTTTTGGGTTCTATTTCTCGTAATTTAATTGTAGACAATTGCATTTACATGTATATTGAAAAATGTAGTATTTTTAGAACGAAGTCATAAAATATCCCAACGTCACGGTACATGACGTCGTTAATATCGATCCGGTATACAGATCAGAGACAACAAAATTAGACATATTTTAAAAAAGAAAACTCATGTCTACCTGCTTTCAAATGACCAGCATCATAATAATTCAATACCCATAAAACAGTTGATAGACATGTTCCTCTTTACGTTTAAATTAGTGAAAATTCTCGCAAGAGAATTTTAAACTAACAATCAGTCCTTTATTTTCTTTCTTTATATTTTCTTCATGTGTTGATTTCTTACAGTTTCTTTTCTTTTTTTGTTCTTTATGCACGGATTCTCCCCTGAATTTGCAGAATAAAAGTGACCTTGTCCCCCCTCTCGGAAATGCAGACGCTTCCCCGTTGAAAACGCAGATTTGTGTTAAGTTTGTCTGAAAAATCGAAGGTATGAAGAAAATCTAGAGGACTAACCGTCCCCACCCCACATGTTTTTCACGTTTTTTTTTTTTTAGTTTTCATTTTTATTTACAAAATTCAGCAAGACACTCAAGTCTAAGATTACTTGTTATGAATCAATTATCGCAAAATATCGTCCCGGCTATAAATATTTATGCGTTCAGTATATATACATGTATTTTTCATTTATGGTTTTATTTATGTTTACGTAGAGACAGCGGATAATTAAGAAAAATCCAAGATTGATTTTATGCTTATAGTATAAGGATAAGAAAAAAATAAACAAAACGTAAGAGACATTTTTAGAGGAGGAAATGGGACGATAATCTAAGCATTTATTTGATTTTATAAGAGAGTAGATTTTGGATCGGAAACCCTTGGCTAGCGGCGATGATTTTATTTTGGCGTAATTTTCAAGATAATAATTTATGTATTTTTCGGGATTCCATGGCATATTCAGTGGATTTTATGATTTTTTTTTTATTTTATATCTTTAACGTTTCAAATAAAAGCAATGGGGGATCTGACTTTGAAGACGTCGTTCAGGTTTTACTTAACTATATATATATAAAACGTATTTCAAATGAATGTCCCATGCATACAGCTGTATACATTACTATAAAGGAAGATATGTCGGGCTGAGTCCCTCTCTCTGAGATTTTTAGAGTAAAGAGGTTCTACCAGTATGCAATTTCCATGAATCTCAAATGTCAAGAAGTTATATACCTTATAAAAATAACCATCCCATCCCCTGAAAAAAGGTTTTGAAGTTTGGGGTTATTTATATAGGGATGGCCGGGATGGGTATCGCATAAAATTGAACATCACGATTTGTTCCAAAAATATCACGATAATATCATGATATTTTTACAAGCAATTTTTACAATGGTTCTAGATGACAATTTTTTTCTTAAAAATATGCTTGAAAAACAAAATTTCACTATTTTGAAATTTTTATATAATAAAATTAATCATATTTGGATGGAAAGAAGCCGTTCTTTTCACCTTTTACAATTTTTTAGTCTCTCTTTAATTCTTATTTGATACGTTTAACAAATAAATGAATAATTTCTGGACTTTATGATGTGTACTTAAATATCAGCATTTAGGTCTCCGTATCACATAACGTATTACATGTACCCAATAAAAATTACAATATACCCATATACCGATAAAATGGCATATCCCTTGTAATAAATTTATTTAAATTATTTATTTGAAATTCTTATTACTTGTTTATTTATCTATTTTTGAAATTATGAGACTTAATATCTTTTAGATTTGATGCCCCCCCCACCTCCATGAAAAAAAATCCTTGTATTTCTGAGCTTACATCAACCCCTATAACTTCTTAAAAAATTATCTTAAGTTCTCAATAATAATTCATTCCTACCTTTCATTACTTTTGTTTACATACTCGACATTTCGGAGAACAGCATATGTTTGATCTATTAAATTTAATATTAGGATATATGGAACAGTTTAAGATCAAGATTTCCATAAACAATACAATTAGTAGTAAAACAAATACTGACCTCCAAAACATGGGTGGGATCAGATGCTATGGAGGAGTGAGCATCCCCTGCCGACCGATCACACCCTCCGTGTGCTCCTTGTCACGATCAGGAAATAATGGGAAAAATCCGTCGTCAATTTAGTGTTTAAAATAATGGACTATCAATAAGTATGAAAAACGTCACATGGTATTTGACTCAATGATAAATTGTATATGTTGACAAGGTTATTGTATCGATCATAAAAGTTACCAAATTATGACTTTAACGAGACTGCTGATATTCTTCTTGCATCAACTTGC